AGAGGCGGACAACCAAAGGCAGAACATCTATAGAGGCTAGATCGCAGAGGCTCTGAGAAGGAGCCTGGGTTTGGTTCTGAAGGCCGTGGGGAGCCATGGAAGATTTCTTAGCAAGAAGATTGCCCAGGTAAGAACTGTTCTTTCCAGAAAGATCTTCTGCAGGGATGAATGCGAGTGGAGGGAGAATGGGGAGACAGGTTGAAAGGTAACTGTAGAGCCCCAGACCAGAGGGGATGGAGCTTAATTAAAGACAAAGGAAGCAGGGATAGGAGGATGGAAGGGGATGAATTTTTATTTTTTTTGGTTTTTTAAAATATTTTATTTATTTATTCATGAGAGACATACAGAGAGAGGCAGAAACATAGGCAGAGAGAGAAGCAGGCTCCCCTGATGTGGGACTTGATCCTGGAACTCCGGGATCACACCCTGAGCCGAAGGCAGACGCTCAACTGCTGAGCCACCCAGGTGCCCACTGGGGATGGATTTTTAAAACAGCAGGCCTGGCCATTGATCTACGTTAGCCAGAGAGAGACAGGCCACTGGGATTTCTAGTGTGGGTCACTGGGTGGTGCACTAAGAGTAAACAGAAGTCCAATCTATGTTTTTCAAGGCCTGGGAAGCTTTAGAAAGAAACCTGGCAGGGATCCCTGGGTGGCTCAGTGGTTTAGGGCCTGCCTTCTGCCTAGGGTGTGATCCTGGAGTCCTGGGATCGAGTCCCACATCGGGCTCCCTGTGTGGAGCTTGCTTCTCCCTCTGCCTGTGTCTCTGCCTCTCTTTCTCTCTCTCTCTCTCTCTCTCTCTCTCTCTCTCTCTCTGTGTGTGTGTGTGTGTGTGTGTCATGAATAAATAAATAAAATATTTAAAAAAGAGAAAAAGACACCTGGCCCAGGAGAAAGTTAAAGGTAGGGAGTCAGGCCAAGGTACTGGAGGATAAACCCAATAGGTGCAGCCTCCAGAACAGATGCATCTGGTGGAAAGCAAGCAGAGGATAGGCCTTCCTGTCACCATCAGCCCTTCTAGCTGCCCTTGACCTTCCTCGGTTACCCTGTTGTGGGGCTGAGGTGGTTTCCCCTGGGCTCTGTAACTATTGAAAAACAACAGGACATAAATCCACAGATGAGCCATCTCATGGCTCCCATGACAAAGGGACTTGAATGATTTAGGACCAGAATATTCTTTTTCTCCATAATGGCTCCTGGAGTCGCCAGGAATAGTACATTTACTAAAATTAATGGCAAAACCTCATTTTTCTTTTTTCCAGGAAGAGAAGTTCCATCGGCGGGGTAATTGATCCTGATCTGGACGTGCCGGTGGGCCAGCTAGGGATGTAAATCATTCACATGAAACAACTCGCAGCCTTTAAACCAACACCAACAGTGACAAATGGCACAGTCTGGGACAGGCGGAAGGGAACACGAAAGGGAGATCCATCAACATCCTTCCCACTTCTCACCAGGGCCTGGCGGGTGGGATCTTTCTGGGGGTCTCCCATGGCAGAGCCATTTTTCAGCAGGATCAGGCTGACAGGGCAGGGTGGGGTCCTAGTGATACCTTTAGAGCTGGACACATGGGGACACCCATCCCACTTCCACCACTCCCAACTCTGCAGCCCTGGACCAAGCCCTTCATGTGTCTGCACCTCCACATTCTCCACCTGCTGCGCTTGGTATCAATGTGAAGGAAAACCATGTCTGCAAAGGGCCTAAGCATTGAATGAATGAATGAATGAATGAATGAATGCTTGGGCTGGAGCATTAAAAAATTCCTTCTATCCCTACCAGGAAGATTTGAATCTAAAACATGGAAAGTGCAAAGAGCAATGCTTTACTCAAAGAAATGGCTGTTGGCCAACAGTGGCCATGGTGTCAACTGGCTTTCTAAGAATCCTCCAAACCCTGGTGTACAGACACCTCCTTTGCCTATAAACACTCTGAGCACCCCTCACAGAGAAATGCATATAATACATGAATAGTGGTCTTTGTGATATCTTTTCATTCGGTGTGAGTTCCTCGAGGGCAAAGGTATGTATGTCTTGTTCCCTGCTGGATCCCTCAATATGGAGCACCGGGCATGGCCCATGGGAAAAGCTGAAGATACACAGTGAATAGGGAAAGAGCCAGAATGCTGACTGCCTTGCAGAACACATGGCACCAGGGGCACCTAGGTGACTCAGTTGGCTGAGCATCTGCCTTGGGCTCAGGTCATGATCCCAGGGTCTTGCAATCGAGCCCCACATCTGGCTCCCTACACAGCAGGGAATCTACTTCTCCCTCTCCTCCCTAGCATGAGCTCTGTCACTATCTGTCTTTCTCTCAAACAGATAGATAAAATTAAGGAAAAAAAGAACACATGAACAGAGTGGCTGCTCCCTTGTCTTACAGGGGCTGGAGGAAGGCAGACTGGTGGCTTAAACATGAACCCAGAGAGGTGAGATCACACTTGGGAAGCCTGGGGAAGTACCAGTATGCCACAATGATGGGAAGTTGGGACAGGAAGGGGGGCTTTGGAAACAGGGTGCTCCCACTGAGTTGTGCTTTGTCCATACTGTGAGCTTCTACAAAGCAGGGGCTCTATGATTCCTTGCACTCCCTACCAATGCCCACCCCTACACTATGCCCATAGTTGGTGCTGAATAGACAAATGTTGAATAAATTGGTGAATAAATGATACGAGAGAAAAGGACATCCTCTCTTCTCCCAGTGGATATATCCCGGGCTCTTAGGCAAGGAATGGATTTGAGGGCAAATGGGTTGGTGAGTGTGGGATACCTACTATTAAGCAGGGTCTGCCAGCCTGACAGTTAGCCCTCTGAGCCTTGCTGATCCACAGAGTCACTGAAGAAACAAGCAATTCAGGGTCACTGCAGAACACCAGCGAGGCAGGAGCATGACCTCCTTTCTCACGGTGGATTGAAAGGCAGCCCCCTTAAACCAAAAATCCTCCTAGGACCTGTCAATGTGACCTTATCTTTTTTTTTAAAGTGTATTTATGGATATAATTAAAGTAAGGATCTCAAGATAAAATCCACCTGGATTCAGGGGGATCCCTAAATTCAATTATAGGCATCTTTTTAAGAAAAGGGCAGAGGGATATTCAAGACACACATACACAGAGACAACCACCACATGAAGACCAAGGCAGATATTGGAGCGATATGGCCGCAATCCAAGGAATCTTCAGTGGGAGTGTGTTACGGCCTACACCTTGATTTCAGACCTTTGACCTTTAAAACTGTGAGAGAATAAATTTCTGTTATTTTAAGCCACCCAATTTTTGCTACTTTGTTAAGGCAGCCCTAGGAAACCAGAGATACACCAAAATGAAGGGAAGAATTCAGTCTTGGTAAACTTATGCAGCATCTTGCAATCAGAAAGCAGAGAACGACACAGGTCTCATGTCAGCATACACACAAGCTTTGTGTTTTACAGCTTTTTGTTTTTATTTTGAATCCTGTATGAGGGTTGCTCTATCATCTTTTCAGTATTTCAGGGCCTTTAACGATCTTAACCTGTCCCTAGAAATGGAAATAGAGAAAGGAAAGGGAGACAGAGAGGGAGGAGAGGAGAGACAGGGAGAAAAGGAGAACAAAGAAAAGAGGAGGAAAGCCACTGTTTGATCTGACCGGCATGCCTGGGTGTCTGGCCAGTTAAAGAAGACATCAGAGGAGACGGGCTGGGATGTGCTCTTGCTCCCAGCCAGAGCTGGCGGGAGGGGAACTCAGCTGCATGAGAAACAGGGCTGGTGAATGAGGAAGTCATCCTGTCAACTGGAGGAAAGAGCCTTTCTCTCTCCCTGGCTATGGGAGGTGGAGGAACTGCCAGTCATGGAGCTTGGACTTTGTCTGGGAACCTGGGTCTCTGTGCAGAGCCTCACCTCCCCCCACCCCCCGCCCCACACGACAGCCACATTGATGGCTTGTCAAGGGCAAAGCTGATGAGAATGGCCCTGGCTGTGACAGGCAGTGGCCCGAGAAATATACTTGCTGCAGGCAGACAAGTTGGTGAGACCTGTCACAAAACCAGAATGGACAGGGCGGGTAGGAGATAAAGACTGTGATTTAGAGACCTTCTGGGCAAGCTTTGGCAGGTGGCGGGTTGTCTCAGTGAAGGCTCTATAGTGGTGGGCAAAGGCAGTGCCAGATGTCTCCCAGGTCACAGAAGCAGAAACCTGGAGTCTTAGGGATATTGGATCTCACGGGGAAAAGGAGGAACCAGCTCTCTCAGATGGCCTGTGATCCCTGCAGGAAACTCTCCTCAGAAAAATACCACGCATGATGGGAGAGACCTTCCCACTGGACATGAAACAAAATTTTTATCTGTGTTCCCCTTTTTCTTCCCTATGAAATTTAGTAAAATGCCAAACTCGACATTTTATTCATTCTTACTTTTTTATTATTTTACCTTTTTGTTTCCCATCCTGTTGGGAAACAGATTTTTAAGTGTTGCTTGGACCACACCAGGAAGCTAAGCATGGCTTAGTGAATAAAAGCACAGACTACAGAGTTGGACAGCCGGGGTTCAAATTCTTACTAGTGTGTGTAGCCTTGGGCAAGTGAGTATACCACTCCGAGCCTCAATTTGGCGTGTTGATGGCCCTTGCCTCAGTTCTCCCATCTGTAAAATGGGAATAACATTCTGACTTTGCAGGGTTGTTATGGGGATTCTATGACATGGATGTTAAGGCTCAGTGCAAGGTGGACATTTAATCAACGTTGGTTCCTTCCTCTCCCTACGAGGGTGCCCTGCCTTTGGAATGTGTGAGGCAGGAAAAGTCTAGAATCTGAAATGCACACACAGGCTGGGTGGCCATCCAGCAGCAGCGAATGCGATTGGTCCACCTTGGACCCGACCCCAGAGCTTGCAGCCAATGGCAGCGTCATATCTCTGCCCATCCCCTTCTGGTTTCTCCCTGCTTCCCAAAGGCCCTGGAGGCCAGCCTGGAGGAGGCTCCCGCAGGGAAACCCTCTATCACTTGACAGCCAGCGTGGGGACAGCACTCACCAGCTCCATGCACCTGCGGCTGGCCTCTGCCTCCCGCTGCACCAGCTCCTCCATGTCCGCCTTCAGCTCCTCCAGGCGCCGCTGGTAATATTGGCTGCTCTCCCGCTGCTGGGACTCAGACTTGGCCGCCTGCGTGAGCTCCTCACCCATCTTGATCAGGCTGTCCCGAAGCCGGATCACCAGGACCTGGAGTCGGGGCGGAGAGCACACATCCCCCTCATGGATAGAGGCCAGAGGCAGGAGACAGGGGCTTCCAGGAAGAGAAATCCTATGCTGAGTCTCTGGGCGTGTAAATAAGGTCATCAAGACGATAATCCTGATTTCTGATACAGAAATGAAGAATTTATTTTAAAAGCCTGAGAAAATGATAATTGCTATACCGCGGGGCAGCCTGGCAGGCGGACAAGCACCCTGGCTTTGAATAGGTGCTAGGTTCAATCTCCACCACTACCTCTTCCTGGTTGTGTGAACCGTGGGCAGGTTATATAACCTCTCTGAGAGACAGGGATGACTGACAGTATTTATGTCCCAGGGAGACTGTCAGAATCGAAAATGTTATGTTATGCAGGATGCTTAGCTCAGTGCCTGGCACACAGAACATTCTAGATAAGGGTTGGGAATTATTAATATTTAGAGCAGCCCTCATCATTTTAGGAAGCTGTGTGGCAGGGAGCACACGATGCTGGGGAGTCAAAACCCCTTCTCCAGCATGGGTTCGGGTTTCTTGATTTGTAAAATGAGGTGTTTGATCAGATAATCTTACACGAGCTTCCACTCTAATGCTTTATGGCAATTTTCCTTTTTCTGGGGGGCAGAAACTAAGAGGACACAATGAGACAGTAAAGAGAAAGGAGCTGTGGGCATCACCATCGCTATAGAAAACAAACCCAAGTGCTGTTCTGCAGAATTCATTAGTTGGCCAACAAGCCTGGAGCCAATCGATTCTGATGGGCAAATACTCAAGTGTTGACCTAAAACTGAGCCCACATGAATATTTCAGGCCCTCGCTCTGGTGAATCTGAGCCCCTCTCTCCAGATCAGAGACTGAATAACAGTCTAAAAGAAAAGCTTTACTATTCAATTGCCCTTTGCTTTTCAAATAGCATTTAGCAACAATTTCAAAGGGCAGCGGGGGAAGGGGGGGTATTAAAAGGAAGAAGAACAGGGATCCCTGGGTGGCACAGCGGTTTGGCGCCTGCCTTTGGCCCAGGGCGCGATCCTGGAGACCCGGGATCGAATCCCACATCGGGCTCCCGGTGCATGGAGCCTGCTTCTCCCTCTGCCTGTGTCTCTGCCTCTCTCTCTCTCTCTCTCTGTGACTATCATAAATAAATAAAAAAAAAAAATAAAAAAAAAAATAAAAGGAAGAAGAACAGTTCTCAAATGGTGTCCCCCAAGGAACCTCTTCCTTTCAAGGGCCTGGGATTCTACTAAATTCAAATCATGGTGGCAGAGGGAGAATGTGAACTTGGACATAGACTCTGCCCCTGAAAATTTTTTTCTTATCATTTTATTTCTTCCTTCCTATCCCTTGATTATGCTAGAATCAAATTTAAAAAAAAATCTGATAGAGCCCAACATTATGTATACTTAAAATGTAGTAGATCAAAGTTCCATGGTGATCTGCAGAGACCATTATGGCTTGAGGGATCCCTTGAGCTATTCTGGGAAACACTGAGGGTCAATGCAGGGAAGACTCTTTCTCTGTTCTTCATATCTAGCAGCTTTCTTAGAGACAAAAGGTCTAACAGGGGCATCAGCAGAATATTTCCAAGTGAGGAATGCAGGCTCCCATTTCTAGATGCACTGTCATCCTGTGGCTCAGCCAGCTGATTACAGAGAAATTATAATCTGCGACCAGAAGGTACAGCATCAATCTACCCCTGTCACTGACACTACCTGGTTTTATCTTGAATAGGTTACTTGAACTCTCTGGGGACCCCTTGGAGTTCATTCAGTGAGGCCTATCCTACCTGCCCCAAGGTGGTTGCGGCCAACATCCCAAGGTATGGCTACTGAGAAACAGTTTTGACAGTGGCGACATCCACTGGTGGTGGCTCGTGTCACTGGCCTGCAGAGCTAAATGTGAATGTCATTCACCCTGCCCCAGCCCATCCACATCTTACCTGCCCTGTTCAAGGTCCAGCATCAATGCCACCTCCTCCTGGAGGCCTCCCTGATTCCCCAGCTTGCAAAAGACCTCCATCCCCCAAGCCTCACAGCTCTCTCAGCATCTTATTTTATATTTCACCCACATCTCCAGACAAAAATCTGTTTCCGGAAAGCAGAATCTGCTTTGTACATCTGCCTTTCATATGCCTAACACAGAACCTGGTACACCTAAGTGGAAAATAAATTTCTGCTCAAAGCGAGTTTTGTGTGCCTAAATGCATGAGGGGGTGGATGGAGATGGGGAAAATGGATCAACAGATAAAGATGAGGACAGACAGAGGGGTCAAGGAAGATCTGAAGAAAGGGAAAGACCAGAGGAAGAGAAGACAGACTGGAGAAAGGGGGAAAGAAGAGACAGAAGGGGACTGATGGATGGAGTGATGGCACATGGCCATGGATGGAGGGAGACAGAGGTGTGTGGGCTGGTTGGATAGGTACTTGTGGGATTGTGAGGTTGAGGGAAGGCAGAAAGGAGGGAGCAGGGGAAGGAACACGAATGGGAGATGCAGGAGGATTATGGATCCAAGGAAAGGCATGAGGGATGGCCAGAGGACTGACAGAGCGAACAGACTTGGCTCTAGGCCTAAGTAATATTTACATGGCCACTGATACCTCAAATCTCTTAATCTGCACTTTCTGGAACTCCGTCTTGTTCTCCAGGTCACAGATGACTGCCTCCTGCCTGCTGACAATGGCTCGATCCACGGTGGACTGCTCCAGGTACTCGATCCGCATCTGAGCCACCTGCAGCTGGAGGTGAACCCGAGAGGTCCGTTGGCCACCTGCTGGCCCCAAGTCCACCCAGCATCAAGATATAGGTGGGACTTGGCCCCAGGCCCATTCACACTGCCTCCTTCTTCGTTCACGTTCAAGGCACAAACACAGACGGTTGGTACCCTCACACCAGACCCTGCCCTCATGTCCCAGAGGCTGGGGGTGATGTTTCTGTGTCTTCAGCCTCTGATATAAGACCTTCCATCAGGTGCTTGCTCACCCTCCTCTCCCTGCTGTGCTAAGAGAGCAAAGCCCGTGTGTGAGCAGCAAGCTTGGGCATTCCAGGTCGGCACCAAGAGTGGGCTTGGGAGCCAAGCACGTATATCAGAGTCCAAAGTCAGGCTCTGCCATTTTCCAGCAGGAGGCACCTGGGCAGGCCAGTTCCCCTCCTCGAGCTCATTCTTTCATTTCTGTGTGTGTGGGAGGATTGAAGGCAATTAGTACCTGGTATATCATAAGTACCCAGCAGAGGCCTTGTGCTATTATTGTGGTGTTACTGTTGGTGTTACTCATGCCCATGGACATTTGCTCCCGGCCCCGTCACTTCGACAGAACCTCTTAGCAGGCACATGCAATAGTTCTAGAAAAGCTTTGAGAACTGCATGGATAAGAGCAGCCCACTAGCTAATGAGTGAAATTCAGGGGTATTTGAAAGAATCATGGCCTCAAAGAAGGATTTCACAAAGGATGAGGATCCTGTCTCATCCAGACCATCACTTTCTCCTTGGAAACGTTTCTCAGAGAAAGAAAAATCTTGTATTGTATGGCTGATGAGTTTCACTACACAAGACACATCTGGAGGCTGAATTGACATGAGCAAAAGTCAGTGGGTGTGTGTGTGTGTGTGGGTGTGTGTGTGTGTGTGCATGAGAGAGAGAGAAAGAGAGAGAGAGACGGCTGGGATTGTTCTCAATTCATTTGCACAACTCAAGTTGAGTGAGTGGACGGATGGATGGATGAATGAGTGACAGTTTCCAGGATCCAAACAGGGAGGTTCTCCCCCCAAGTGAATACTTTCCTTCCTCCCCACCACCAGGGCAGCTCTGAGCTCTGAGCACGTACATGTTCCTGAAGTTTGTGCTTCTCTTTCTTGGCTTCTTCCAGCTGTAGCTGCAGTTCTTGGATCTGCCCAATGTCAGTAGCAGACTAGTGAGACAATAAATAAGTAAGTAAGTAAATAAATAAATATAAATGTCACCTTGAGACTTTGCTGGGAAACTACTGCTGGAAAGCCCTTCCCCCTACACCCCATCCCCAGATGTCTAAGACTCTCAGAGCCTCCATGACAATAGTTCATTCCTAAAAAATTACTCCTCGTCTCCTCCCCACAATGTTCATCACAGTGCCTGCTGAGTCACTCCAGTTATATAAGCCCATGGCTTTGGTCAACCACCCAGCACACAGTCTATCAACACTCTTGAGAGCCCAGAAAGAAATGAGCTCGTCATGGCCCCAGGGCCAGATTCTGAGGAGAGAGGACTCCCAAATGTCGGGTGACTGGGATACTGGCCTTGGCCTCTCTGCACCTCAGTATCCCCCATCTGTAAAATGGGCTGATAGGCTTTGCTTAGCTCCTCTACCTAAGGTTTGGTCAGAGATTAAATGAGGCAATGGAGACTATAAAGGTGCTCAAAAAGAAGTAGAACCAAACTGTTAAGCGTGATGATCTCCTAGGAGAGGGATTCCAGGGGGCAGGAGGGCTTTCTATTTTCCACATGTCTTTATTGTTTAAATTGCTTATAACATACATATGAACATACTGCTTTGAGTAATGGATCAAACAAACAAATTTCTCTTTGACCCAAAATAATTGTGAGTCACAAGGGCAGAAGATGGCATAGGCTATTTCTGTGATGGCTGTTCTGATGTTGAAGATATAATTGGCTATTTTTGTTATCATTATTCCTCATTTAGTAGAAATTCCCAAAGATTCCATCTGGGGAGGATGCATTTGAAGTCTGGCAGGCACTGTACCATGGATCCCCTCTGGGGCACAACGTGGGAAAGACACTCATTACTCCTGGAGGGAGTTGCTCTCTCTTCTTATGCAGATCAGAAAGCTGCCAGGGATCCCCATCGCTCATCTGTTGGCTCTATCTCAAAGCCTCTGCTGCACCCCAGCCTGCCACCGTGCCTCCCGATGTGTCCTGGGTCCCCGTCTACCCATGTCCACTCCATGTCCCCGGTACAAGCCGACCACAGTTTTCATTCATCCACCAGCTGTTTACCAGGTGCCCTACTCCACGGCAGCCACCTTTCTAGGCTCTGGGATACAGAGCTGGACAAGACAGGAGAATCTGGGGGTGGCATCCTGGCTGACCCTTTCTCTCCTGCTCTTGCCCCTGAAAAATTTGCCAATGATTCTCATCACACATAAAATAAAATCCAAACTCATCTCAGCCTATGAGCCCCTGTTCTGGCCCTGCTCTGCTGGCCTCATTGAGCTCATCTTGTGCCACACTCTTCTTGCTGGCCTCCTTCCAGCCTCTCAAATGCACCATCTTTGGCCCTTTGCACACGCTGTTCCTTCTGCCTAGAACATTTTCCACACAACCCTTACTATTCCACCCAACCCAATTAACTCCTGTTCCTCATCCTGATCTCCATCCAAGAGCCACTTCCTTCGGGAGGCCCTCCCTGACCTCCAGCCTCAGTCAAGATCCACAGAAACATGTTCATTTCCTTTCTGGACTCTAAGCTCACTACAAGCACCTCCTGTGTTCTGGGCGATTATGTGAGAAGGCCTGTCCAGCCCATGAAATTACAGGCAAACACAGGGATGGATGTGCTTCTCTCAATATGGTATCCTTGGCATTTCACACAGTACCTCACACATGGTGGGGGCACAGTAAATATTAAGTAAATGAATGGATATATAAACAGATGTATGGAGAGGTAGATGGATAGAGGGATTGGTGGATGAATGGTCGGATGGATGGATGGATGGATGGATGGATGGATGGATGGATAGGTGAGTGGCTGAATGGGTAGGTGGGTGGATGGGTAGAAGGATAGGTGGAAGGGTGGGTGGGTGGGTGGGTGGACAAAAATGGGGATAGGTGAGTGGGGTAGACCGATGAGCAGATGAATGGTGGATGGATGAATATTTTGATGGGTAAGTAGAAGGGTGTGGGGGTGGGTGGGTGGATGTGTGGACAGATGTAAAAATAAATCAAATTTTTCTCGGTGGAGATGTCTTCCAGGCATGCACACTCATCTGAAGGTGACGCCCTCCTCCATTAGGACCACATGAAATGTCACAGTTCCTATTTATCATTGTGGCATTTAATTCCTCTAAGGTCCTAAGACCAGAGAGGGGCCCAGTCACATCCCCTTCTCAACATCCCCCACCTGCCTGGCCCAAGGCCACCAAGCCGTCTTCCACTTCCCACTGTTACCTGAGCAATGAGGTCCTTGTGCTTCTGCATGAGGTCATTCAGGTCATCCTGGTCCTCATCGATGCGCTTCAGCAGGTCTGCTCTTTCAAACTGCAGCCGGTACAGCTGCTCATCCACCTGGCGGGAGGCAGGACAATGTGGGGGTAAGCCAGAAGGGTGGATAGGAGCAGGACAGCAGAGGCCTCATGAAGAGCAAAGGGAGGGGGTTCCCCTGTGAGTGTGTTGGATAAGTGACCACATACCTGAAAGGATGGTCATGATGTGTGTGTGTGTGTGTGTCTGTGTGTGTGTGTGTGTGTGTGTGTGTGTGTGTCGGGGCACCCATGTGGCTATGTGAATGCAGTGTGTGTGTATGTGAATGGATATATGTCTGTATAAGCCCCCGTGGCCTTACATTTTATGTTCATTTTATTTTTTTTAAGATTTTATTTATTCATGAAAGACACAGAGAGAGAGGCAGAGACATAGGCAGAGGGAGAAGCAGGCTCCCTGCGGGAAACCCGATGCAGGACTCAATCCCGGGGTCCCGGGACCACCACCTGAACCAAATGCAGATGCTCAACCATTAAGCCACCCAAATGCCTCTTTATGTTCATTTTAAATGTACCTAGGACACACACATGAGTACAAATCCCTAGAATCTCCCTCAGAACTGGGTCTTTGCTCTGTTCGGGGATATACCCCCAGTACTAGGCCTGCATACAGCAGGTGCTCAGTAAACAGGTATTGGGTGGGTAGATAAAACTGGATGCATGTTTTACCTATGAGGGCATTTGTGTGTCTGATGGTTTTGTGGGTGAGTGTGCACTTTCGTGTGTGTGTGTGTAAATGTTTGTGGGCAAGTTCTCCTTAATCTGGTGCCCATAAAATCTGGAATAAAAGGTCCAAGAGGGATCTTGAGACAAACTTTTGTCTATAAATCTGTGGCTATACCTAAACTTTAGGATTTTGCATGCCGAGTAAAAATTGAAGTCAACCCTGTATACAAACAGATGACTTAGAAACGCACACCCAATATTCACCAGTTGTATTAGATTCATGCTATATGTTCATTTCCCCCCATTCGGTGGCAAGCACATAGTAGGTTCGTAATAGATGGTTGGGTTCCTTATAGGAGTGAGCCTAAGTGGGCCCACAAGGTACACCTTTGTCTCCATCATAAGATTGGACATACACTAACCCAGTTATAATGACCAAGTCCTCTGTAATGGTGGTGAGCACACAGTAGAACCACAGCAGGTGCCTGGGGACCCCTTTCAGTTGTGAACATACCATGGACACACTGTAGATATTTTTGTTCCCACTTAGGGTACTGGGCAAACATTAGGCTCATACTGAATGCATCCCTATAGTGCTGAGCACACATTAGGTCTACAACAGGTTCCCTTGTCTACCTTTGCAGAGATGAGCACACAGCTGACCCTTATAGATGCCCTTATACCTTTATAATGCTCAGCTCACAGTAGGATGTTTTTACTCTCAGAGGGTTGACCCAGTAAGAACCCAATGAGTGCCTCTTGTCCCTCTTATAGTGCTGAGCACTTGGTGCGCCCACACTAGCCCCCAGAGCCCTGAGCTGGCCTGGGTCCCCACAGCTTCCAAGACAGGACAGGTACCAGGCTCTTATTCCGGGTCATGTTCTCCAGCTCGCTATGCATGCTCTCCAGGTCTGCTGCCAGTGCCTTCTGGGTCTTCAGAGCATCCTCACACTTGGCTTCACTCTGCTCCAGCTGCACCAGGCAGGAGGATGGGAAGAGGAGAGAAGAGGAGGGGAGGGGAGGGGAGGAGGGAAGAGGGAGAGGGAAGGGAAGGGAAGGAGGAGGGAAGGGGGAGAAGAGAAGGGAAGGGGAGGGAAGGGGGAGGGAAGCGCAGGGGAGGGAAGGGGAGGGAAGCCAAGAAGGGAAGGGAGGAAGGGGAGAAGAGAAGGGAAGGGAAGGGGAGGGAAGGGAAGGGAAGGGAAGGGAAGGGAAGGGAAGGGAAAGGGAAGGGGAAGGGAAGGGAAGGGAAGGGGAGAAGGAATGGAAGGAAAGAGAAGGGGAGAAGAGAAGGGGAGGGAAGGGAGGGAAGGGAGGGAAGGGAAGGGAAGGGAAGGGAAGGGAAGGGAAAGGAAAGGGAAGGAAAGGGAAGGAAAGGGAAGGAAAGGGAAGGAAAGGGAAGGAAAAGGGAGAAGGGGAGGGAAGGGAAGGGAAAGGAAGGGAAGGGAAGGGGAGGGAGGGGAAGGGAAAGGAAGGGGAGGGAAGAAGAGAAGAGCAGAGCCTCGTGATGCCACCTCCTTGATGTGCTTCCCCTCCGGCCCAGCCCTTCCCTGGTGGCAGAATAATTTACAGACGATCTTCATGCCTTCAAAACCATCCATCAGCCCACAAGGAGGGGAAGGGAATGTGTTTGCATCTGAGGTGGCCAGGGTCTGAGCTACTCAAAATTGAACAGGCACTGTCCCATGAAATACGGATAGTCCGTGTCAGTGCCAGGAACTCGTCCCCAGCTATGTTCAGCAGATATTTGCTGACACCCACTCAGAGCATGCAGGGAACCATCAACCTGGCCCCTGCCCCATGATGCTGGGGGGTGGGGTGGGGGTGGAGGAGGGTAGACAGGCAGGGACAGCCTCCCTGAGGAGCACAGGAAGGCGTGGAGATACTGGGAATATAGGATGAGGGCAGGGAAGGCTTCCTGGAGGAGGTGCTCAAAAGTCAGTGGGAACTTGCCAAGTAAACATTTCTTTATTTGTTATTTATTTTTTTAAAGATTATATTTATTTATTTGAGAAATAGCAGAGGACAGCATGAGCTGGGGGAGGAGCAGGGGGAGAGAGAAGGACACTCAAACTCCTGCTGAGTGGGATTGATCTCAGGACCCTGAGATCATGATCTGAGCCAAAGCCAGATGCTTAATGGACTGAGCCACCCGGACGCTCCCAAGGAGACATTGCTTAAAATGAGGTTTCAGACTTGTAAACTCCCTTGATGTAAAATATTTGCCATGTGAGCATTTTCCTGGGTTCTTAAAGACTAAGAGCCACTGACCTGAACAAAGTTTCTCTTTGTCACTCTTTTTTAAATTTTTTTTAATTTTTTTAATTTATTTATGATAGTCACAGAGAGAGAGAGAGAGAGAGAGAGAGAGAGAGGCAGAGACATAGGCAGAGGGAGAAGCAGGCTCCATGCACCGGGAGCCCGATGTGGGATTTGATCCCGGGTCTCCAGGATCGCGCCCTGGGCCAAAGGCAGGCACTAAACCGCTGCACCACCCAGGGATCCCAAGTCACTCTTCTTTCTCATTCATTCACCCACCTGCACACGTCTTAGCAACGGGGGGCTATCAAGTAGGTACAAGGACCTACATGGACCCAGAAAACAGACATTCCCTGCTGAGGAAAACCGGGGCACAAACCCTAAGTCTATTCTGCAACTGGCAGTTTCCCCTTGATTTCCAAATCTTAGAATCTCTGAGCAGAAAACAGTCTCAGAAATTGCCTAAGGAAAATGCTCGGAGCTCAGAGAGGGACAGTGGAAGTCACACAGCTGCAAGGAGTGAAGACAGCCGCTTGTATTGTCCATGCTAGCAGACTTTTTCACTGCCAGGCCACTGTCCCTCCAAAATAGTTAATAATATTAAAATTGGTGCTCAAATACAGAAAAAAAATTTCTGCACACAATTTCTGGTCCCTGAGGCCACCAAGTTAGTGAGGGGGCCCCATTGATCTATAAAAGGACAACAATTGAGCCAAGGTGGATGCCGCCCCAGGCAACTGGCCAAGGTGGGGACACTCTGTGGGCAGAGCCCACTTTGGGATCATTTTTATCTCCTTCCAAACTGGGCAGAGAATGTCATCCTCAGAGTATCAACAGCTCAGCCCAGATGTTAGAATAATAATAACAATAACAATAACAATAACAACAACAACAGAGAGTGGGGAGAATGGAGGTCACCACCGACTCCAGGATCTCCGGTCAAGTGCCATGGGGAATGTTCTGCTGCCATTTTGTCCTGTAATCCGTCGTCTTCCATCAGTGAGGTGCATACCACTGAAATCCCATTATACAGATGGGGAAATTGAGGCCCTAACCTCCTCCCACAGCTTTCTCACACTGGGGCCTGGAGTTAGCCCCACCTCCCTTGCCAGCAGCCACAGCCACAACCCCCTGCCACCCACCCCTGCCGATTTTCCAAGACCCAAGAACAATGTATTCCTGCTGGGGGTTTGGCACAGGGTGGCCCATTTCCCTCTCTGTGGGGGCTGAGATACACAGAGAGTGACATGGAGCAAGGAGAGGTATTGGCATCGATAGAGCATCCCGAAAAGGGCAAATGAGACATCAGGCACAGTCTTGTCTTCCCATGGGCGACTGCAAGGCAGGGAGGTAGCAAAGAGGGCTGTCTGTGGGCAGGCTGGCAGGGCAAAGCCAGCTCTCAGTTCCCACAGAAGCCAGAGGCCTCACTAAGGAGGGGCATTGAAGCTAAGACCTGAAAGATGCAAGAAGACAGCCGTGCACAGATTGAGGGGGAAGAAAGAGTCCCCTGAGTGGAGGCAGTAGCTGGTGCAAAGGTCCTGAGACAGGACAAGAACACGAGTGAAAGTCATGCTGAGGCAGCCACTGTGACTGAACAGCTAGCTCTACAGGGAAGGGGAGGGGAGAGGATGCTGAAGAAGTGGGTGGGTTGGGGAGCACGTTAGTGGGGCTAGTGAGCCAAATGCAAAGTGCTGGTTCATTTTCAATCTGCAGGGAAACCACTAAGGAGGAAGAGGAGGAGGAGGAGGAGGCAGGTAGCATGATCTACCCCCTGGCTGCTTTGGGGAGGATAGGCTTTGGTGGACAGGGCTGGAAACAGGGCAGCCAGTGAGGACACACCATGGTGTGTGCAAAGAAGAGAAGGTCTGGGCAGGCAGGAGCAGGTGGGCCGTCAGGGGAGGTGACGTCAGTGCTCTCTGACAGTGGAAAGGAGGCATCACACAGGGCCCTGCTGCCAGGCCAAGCTGCTCGGCCTGGGGCCAAGAGACAAGCGAGAGCCACTCTTGGTGACTGAACAGCACAGCGCCAAATACGAGGACAGCACTTCCCATCTGCTGAGCTCCTCCTCGGGCTGAGGGTTTTGGCAGCATGATGCCCTGGTCCTCAGAGCCTCCCCGGAGAGAGGAGCCTCTGTTTGTGTCTCCATTTTACAGGTGAAATGATGCATTAATAAGAAATGCTCTTCTTTTCCCCAAGCTGAGCAAGCAGAGAGGGGGACAATTTGTCCCCGGGCAGAGACGGACATGGCTATCGATGTGATTCTTACCTCCTTCTGGGTTAGGGATAGGATTATCTTGGCCCTGATGATTTGGGCATTAACGGTTGCACCTGCTACTGTTGTTTGGGGACTATTTCCAGGGCACTGTGCTTTCTCCGTCTTGCTTCATAAAAGCCCCACAAGACCTCTTGGGAGCAAGGCACCACCGTTAGGACCAGTTGATATATGAGGACACTGGGGCTGGCAAAGGGGAAAGGACTTGCCCACGGTCATACAGCCAGTCAGTGGAGAAGCCTGGCTGGTCCAACTCCAGAGTCCAACCTCTTAACTGCTGGTCTCCACTGTCCCTCATGGAAAACCACCCTCTGGAAGGTCTGGACCACATGGGGAGGATGGGTTGAAATAAAAAAGAAAGCCCTGTTGCAGAGTGAATGGTTAGCTCAGCAGCAGTGCCATGAGGTGCTGGAGGCCAGGTCTGGGGGCTCTAGAATATGGGCAATCAGAGACAATGGACAGAACTCGGAAGTTGAATCAATGTGATGGCACCAAGGAAACACACATCATCCCCGGAGCCTCTTGGAGATAAACAAGTTCATCCCCGAGGGACGAGAGAAGAAACCAAAGCTTACTCGCACTTGCTAAGTGCCAAGTCCCACCAGTGTGGGGGCCAGAGCTTGGGCACAGAACCAGAGCTGGGGGATCAGCCTCTCTCAGCTGGTCACTTAACCTCGTGTCTCAGTATCCTCGCCTGTAAAATGGGGAGAGTCACACCATAGGGTCTATGTGATCCCTCGTAGTGAGTGAGTGAAATCAGGGCAGCACCTGCTACTGAGAAAACCCTAGAAAAGTAATGGTGGTTGTTACTGCTATTTGTCCCTTTACTTCCCTGATCAGCCTAAGAAATAGGGGATTTCAACCCCACTTTAGGGGTGAGGAGAATGAAAGAAATGGCAGCTGAATGAGCCGTCAAGTTCCCCTCACTGGGATGAGGCAGGGCCTGGGCTCCCACCATCTCAGGAACAGTATCAGGCTTCCTGGCAGACTGGGTGGGAGGAGAGAGGGTACCAACCCTGGAGGCGCCCAAGCCAGTAGGATCAGGATGAGCAAGACCAAAAACAGCCTCCCTCACCCAGCCCGAGTTCTCTGCTGGGCAGGCTCCAGGCTGCTGCTGACAAGCCATCTAAATGCTGAGCTTTAAAAATTTCAATTTATTATACTTTAGGGAGCGGGAAGAAATACAGGGCCATCTCAGGCTGATTTTCCATTATGGATGACCCGCTGTAAGAATAACTCACTGCATGTTATTTCCATATGGGGGCCGTTTGAGTGACATTTTTATGAAGTCGAGTGGCAAGTCATGCTGGGGCTGGGATCAGACCCTTCAAGGCAGTGACACTGCCCACTGCCTCTTTGCAAACGCCTTCCCTTCCCGGGAGGTGCTCCAGGAGGGGCAGTCAAGAGAGCGGAAAGGAACTGGGCCACTGGGCAGGACTCCCTT